GTTTCAGAGTCCAGTCGAATTCTAGCTTGCACAGTCGCTCGGTCTTCCTTGTATGAGCGTATCAGAGAGCGACAGTATGATGATCCTCATTTGCTTGTCCTTAAGGACACGGTGCAGCTCAGTGGTGCCAAGCAAGTTGCTATAGGGGAAGATGGAGTTTTACGGATGCATGATCATATTTTTGTGCCTAATGTAGATGGGCTTCGTGAATTAATTCTTGAGGAGGCCCACAGTTCCCGGTATTCTATTCATCCGGGTGCCGCCAAAATGTATCAAGATTTGCGGCAACATTATTGGTGGAGGAGAATGAAGAAGGATATATGCAAATGTATCTCGGTGTTTAAATTGTTAGTAAGTCAAGTACGAGCATCAAAAACCCGGTGGTCTACTTCAGAAGTTAGAAATTCCTGAGTGGAAGTGGGAGCGTATCACTATGGATTTTGTTATTGGGCTTCCACAAACTCAGAGAAAGTTTGACGCAATATGGGTCATTGTGGACAGGTTGACCAAGTCAGCACATTTCATTCCAGTAGCAGTTACCTATTCTTCAGAGTGTTAGCGGAGATTTACATCCGCAAGATTGTCCGCCTTCACGGTGTGCCCGTGTCTATTATTTCAGATCGAGGTACACAGTTCACCTCGCATTTCTGGAAGGATATACAACATGAGTTAGGCACGCGGGTTGAGTTGAGTACAACATTTGATCCTCAGACGGACGGATAGTCCGAGCGCACTATTCAAATATTGGAAGATATGCTTCGCACTTGTGTTATAGACTTTGGAGGTTCTTGGGATCAGTTCTTGCCACTTGCGGAATTTGCCTATAATAATAACTACCAGTCGAGCATTCAGATGGCTCCATATGAAGCATTATATAGGAGACGATGTCATTCGCCAGTTGGCTGGTTTGAACCGAGAGAGGCTCAGTTGTTGGGTACTGACTTGGTACAGGATGCCTTGGATAAGGTCAAAGTTATTCAGGATTGACTTTGCTCAGCTCAGTCTAGGCAAAAGAGTTATGACGACCGTAAAGTTTGTGACGTTGCATTCATGGCAGGAGAAAGAGTATTGCTCCGGGTTTCACCTATGAAGGGTGTAATGAGATTCAGAAAGAAGGGCAAGTTGAGCCCTAGTATATCGGACCCTTTGAAATTCTTGAAATGGTAGGTGAAGTAGCCTACAGGCTTGCACTACCACCTAGTTTATCAGCAGTTCATCCGGTGTTCCATGTGTCTATGCTCCAGAAATATCATGGTGATCCATCCCATGTGTTAGCTTTCAGCTCAGTCCAATTGAATAAAGATTTGACTTATGAAGAGGAGCCAGTAGCTATTCTAGCCCGACAGTTGAGGTCTAAGAGTTATCCATCAGTTCGAGTGCGATGGATAGGTCAGCCGGTAGAAGCATCTACCTGAGAGTCAGAGTCGGACATACGGAGTAAATATCTACACCTTTTGACCAGCTCAGTATTTTTCTAGTTTCGTTCGAGGACGAACGTTTGTTTTAGAGGTGAAGAATGTGATGACCCAATATGTCATCTTTAATTTTAAACATTTATTTCTGTGTTCTGAGACCTCAAATAATACCTTTCAGCATTTCTCGACTTGCGTTCATAATCCGTAAATTTTTTCGAAAGGTTTTTATGTGAAAAATTGATTAAAATGCGAAATAGAGCTTCAAAACTCATTTGAGTTGACTTCGGTCAACGCTTTATGCAAATGGACCCGGATCAGTATTTTGATAGTTTGGTAGGTCCGTATCATGAATTGGGACTGAGGCGTATGCCCGAAATTGAATTCAGATGTCCCTAGCTTGAGTTATCGTCATTTATTGAAAACTTAGAAGTTTGAAAGCTTAAAGATTCCAAAGTTTGACTGTGAATTTAACTTTATCGATATCGAACTCGGATTGAGATTTTGATAGTTGGAATAGCTCCATTATGTCATTTTTGACTTGTGCGCCAAATTTGAAATTATTCCGGATTCATTTAATATGTTTCGACACGGGTTTTGTAAAGTAAAAAGTTTGAAACTCATAAGTCTAAATCGAGGTGTGAACTGTAATTTTGACATTATTTTATGTGATTTGAGACCCCGAGTAAGTCCGTATTATATTACAGGACTTGTTGGGATATTCGGACGAGGTCCCGAGAGGCTCGGGTGAGTTTCAGACCATTTTTTGTTCAAGAACACAGGTCTGGTTCTGGTGTGTCGCACCTACGCAATTTTGACCGCAGGTGCATGATCGCTTCTGCGACTTTGAGGCCAGGGGAGAAACTTCACTTCTGTGAAGCTTGGGATGCAGGTGCAGTGCCATGATCGCAGATACGATCTTTCTCGCTTCTGCGGCTTCCTTCTATGCAGTCAATACTGCAGCGTGAAGGTCCGCAGATGCGGTCCTCTGCTTGGCTGCCCTGTTCCGCAAATGAGAGCTTTGTGTGATGACCCACCATGTCATCATGACACATAGGTGCCATTTGGCATATATTAAAGCCATGTGGAAGCTTACATATGAGGAAGGCTAGCATTTGTGAGAAGATTCTAGAAAAGTATGGACATTTCATTTGGAAGACCCTAGATCCCTATGGATTTGCTAGGAAAGTCCTTGGAATCTTCTAGGCTTGTAGAGAATTCTAGAGAAAGCCCTTATCTTGTAAATATTAAGGACTTGTATAACAATTAATATTTACATAGCCCCTAGGAGACTAGTATATAAAGGGGGCCATTCATTTGTAATTCACCAAGCAAAGAATTCAAGTTCTCTCTAATACAAAGCTTCCTTTAATAATTCTCTTATGTTCTTTCTACCATTCTCTTAGCGATCTTGAGTGTAGTAAGGCTGACTTGGCATAGCAAGAAAGTGAACAAGTTTTGCAAGATCGTGAGCGAGTTGTCAAGTTCCGCACGTGTACGTAGTTAACTACTAAGGACATGACAACGTGGTATCAGAGCAAAGGTTGCAACTAAGAGAATGGCGAACGACAGAGAAATTAACGCTGCCAACACCCAAGACAACGTCATCCAGGATGCTACTGGCAAGAGCGGCCGTAACAAAAAGAGAAATACCACCAACAAGAGCCAGGAGGTACCGCCCAAGGTTGTATCAAACGAAGGGCTTACATCCCAAGAACCATCTGCCAGTGAGGCGAAGGAGGATGAAGTAGAGGTCCTGCCCGAGGACGTCTCGCTCGGTAAAGTGTGGGTGATGAAGATGAACGCGGGGATGGACGCCGTGGAGATCTTTGACAAACGCTTGGGGAAGGTGGAAGGCACCCTTAGCGTTCTTGAGGGTCACACTCTTGAAGAGATTGAGAGTATCCGAAATAACTTGGAGGGACGTACACAGACCGAGATGGAACTAAGGCAAACTATCACTGCGTTAGAGTGCAGACTCATGGAGGCTTTGAGTACTATCGATGCTATGAAGGCAAAGATAGAGTCACTCGAGGAGCATGTCAATGCTGGCGTGACCGAGGCAGCCAGCAATGTTGTGGTCACGAGAGAGTCCAAGATTGAGGCTCCCAAACCCCCAGTGTTCAAAGGTGTTCGTGATGCACTAGAAGTGGAAAACTTCCTTTGGCACTTGGAGAACTACTTCAAGCACGACAAAGTAAGGAACGACGAGGCCATGATCAACACTGCAGTGTTGTACCTCTCAGAGGCTGCCATGCTATGGTGTAGAAGGAAGATGGCCGACGTAGATAAAGGTCTATGTACTATTAGCACGTGGGATCAGTTCAAAATCGAGTTTAAGCGACAGTTCTTTCCAAACAATGTCTTGTACGAGGCAAGGCGCAAGGTTAGGGAGTTGAAACAAACAGGGAGCATACGTGTCTATATCAAAGAGTTCACTACCCTTATGCTTCATATCCCCAACCTGACCAATGATGACTTGTTGTTCCACTTCATGGACTGGTTACAAAATTGGGCTAAGCAGGAGTTGCAACGCCGACAACTCGCAGATATAGACTAAGCCATAGTGGAGGCTGAATCATTGATGGATTTTATGCATGACAAGCATGACAAAGGCAAAGGCAAAGAATCAAAGGTTAACAATGTCAAAGGTGGGGGAGACCGTGGCAAAGGCAAGGAGATATAACAACAATACTACAAGACTCAAGATTCCAAAAAGTCGAGTGGCCGTCGGGGCTACACCGAGAAGAAGGCGCATGCCCAGAATAAGGGATGTTACATATGCGGAGGGCCGCATATCTTCAAGAATTGTCCCGACCTAAAGAGCTCATCGCCATGGTTCGTGAACGGAAGGAGCAACTGCAAGGAGAGAGTTCGGGAACCACACAGTTGGGTATGATCGGATTATGTGGTGTTGTCACAAAGCAAGATATCCAACCTAACGAGAATGGCAATCAGTACGTGGATCTCACCATTAACAACAAGCCTGCTCGTGCAGTGGTGGATACTGGAGCAACTCATAATTTCGTGATTGAGGCTGCCGCAAAGAGACTAGAATTTAAGCTTGCTCCAACCAACTCTCGCGTTAAGACTGTGAATGTCGAGGTACAAAATGCTCGTGGGGTAGCTAATGGAGTTGGTGTCAAATTAGGAACCTAGAAAGGTATGACAAACTTTACCGTAACTGCTATGGATATCTTTGACATCATATTGGGGCAAGAGTTCTTTAGACATTGTCATACTTTGATCGACCCCTACCTTCAACATCTCTTAGTTATGGAGAGAGAAGGAGCTTGCATGGTACCTACAGTGACTATGCCACACGGACAGAGCCAAGCACAACTATCAGCTATGCAGGTTGTCAAGGGAATCAAGAAGGGGGAGCCGACGTTCGTGGCAACCGTCGCAAGTCTGGAGGAAGACAAGAGTTTTCAAGAGACATTGTCGCCTTGCATAGAGAAGTTGCTTGAGAAAAACAAAGATGTCATGCCCGGGGAGTTGCCTAAGCACTTGCCTCCTAGTTGAGAGGTGGATCACAAGATTGAGTTGGAGCCAGGGGCTAAGCCACCCGTATTTTCCCCATATCGTATGGCACCGCCCGAGCTAGAGGAGCTCAGGAAACAATTGAAAGAGCTGCCAGATGCTGGTCATATTCGCCCATCAAAGGCATCTTTCGGCGCACCAGTATTGTTCCAGAAGAAGAATGATGGATCGTTGTGCTTATGCATAGACTACCGAGCACTTAATAAGGTCACAATGAAGAATAAGTACCCGATCCCGCTCATTGCTAACTTGTTCGATAGACTTGGGTCAGCCAAGTATTTTACCAAGGTGGATCTTCGCAAGGGCTACTACCAGGTTGGCATTGCAGAAGGGGATGATCCGAAGACAACATGTGTGACGAGATATGGAGCCTTTGAGTGGTTGGTGATGCCCTTTGGCTTAACCAATACACCGGCCACATTTTGCACCCTTATGAACAAGATTTTTCATCCCTACCTTGATAAGTTCGTGGTAGTCTACCTAGACGATATAGTCATCTACATTAACACCTTGGAGGAGCATATGGAGCACTTAAGGAAGGTTTTCCAAGTCTTGCGGGAGAATGAGCTATACATCAAGAGGGAGAAATGCGAGTTTGCACAATCAAAGGTGCACTTCTTAGGCCATGTTATTAGTAATGGCGAGCTACGCATGGACGAGGCTAAGGTACGTGCTATCCAGGAATGGGAGGCACCTATAAAGGTAACTGAGTTGAGATCCTTCCTTGGACTTGTTAAATACTATCGTCGGTTCATCAGTGGCTACTTAACAAAGGCCGCACCATTGATTGAGTTGCTAAGGAAGAACAAGCCATGGGTTTGGATGGAGCATTGTCAAAGGGCGTTTGAAGACCTCAAGGAAGCTGTAATAGAGGAGCTAGTCTTGGCATTACCTGACTTTGCCAAGACATTTGAGGTGCATACAAATGCCTCAGATTTTGCCATTGGGGGTGTCTTGATGCAGGATAAACATCCCATAGCATTTGAGAGCTGCAAGTTAAATGAGACGGAGCGACGTTACACAGTGCAAGAGAATGAGATGAATGCCATTGTGCATTGCCTTCGTACATGGCGACATTATTTGCTCGAGTAGAGGTTCGTGGTCAAGACCGACCATGTAGCTACTAGCTAATTTTAAACGCAGAAGAAGCTCACACCAAAACAGGCTAGGTGGCAGGATTTTTTGGCCGAATTTGATTATGTGCTAGAGTATAAGCCGGACAAAGGTAACATTGTAGCCGATGCCTTGAGCCGGAAAGCCAAGCTTACTGCAATCACTTCAACAAGATGGGACATTCGTGAGGCTATAAAAGAAAGCATACAGCATGATCCAGCAGCCAAACAACTTATCGAGTTAGCCAACCAGGGCAATACGACACATTTTTGGGTCGAAGACGGCCTACTGCTTACCACAGGTCGGCAGGTCTACGTTCCTAAGTTTGGAGACATTAGACGGCGGATCATAAGGGAGAGTCATGACACAATGTGGGCTGGTCATCCAGGCCAACATCGCACTAGGGCCTTGGTTGAGTCAGTCTACTATTGGCCACGCATGCAAAATGACATAGAGTGTTATGTGAAGACTTGTCTTGTCTGTCAACACGACAAGGTTGTGCAACAAAAACCCGAAGGACTTTTGGAGCCACTACCAGTTGCAGAACGTCCATGGGAGAGCGTGACTATGGACTTTATCACTTGCCTACCGAAGTCCGACGGTTATGGTACTATTATGGTGGTGGTGGATAGATTTTCCAAATATGCCACCTTCATGCCCGCCTCATCAGGTTGCACTGCTAAGGAATCCACCAAACTATTCTTTTAGAACGCGGTGAAGTATTGGGGCTTACCAAGGCATATTATCAGTGATCGAGATCCCCGTTTTACTGGAAACTTTTGGAGAGAGTTATTCGGCATACTTGGCACGGAACTGCACTTTTCCACTAGTTTCCACCCACTGATGGATGGACAAACGGAATAGGTCAATGCCTTACTAGAATGCTACTTGAGGCATTATGTAAGCGAACATCAGAAAGATTGGGCAAGGCTCATAAACATCGCCCAATTCTCTTATAACTTGCAGCAGAGTAAGTCCATGGGGCTGACACCATTTGAGCTAGCAACAGGCCAACAACCACAAACTCCACATTCATTACCAGCCACGTCCGAGGGAAAGAGTTTGGGGGCTTATCATATGGCCAAAGGATGGGAGGAGCAGCTTGACACTACTAAGTCCTACTTGGATAGGGCAGCTAAGAAGATGAAGAAGTTTGTGGACCGTAAGCGGTGTCCCATAGACTATATAGTTGGGGACATGGTCATGGTGAAGTTTAACCCAAGATAGTTCAAGGCACTACAGGGCATGCATCAGAATGTGATTCGCAAGCATGAGGGGCCATTTAAGATCGTCGCCAAGGTAGGCAAGATCTCATATAAGCTTGACATGCCATCATATCTTAAGATCTACCTTGTCTTCCATGTCAGCATGCTTAAGCCATATCATAAAGATAAGGATGATCCGAGTAAGGGCCAATCAAGTCGAGCGATGACTATCACCTCCTCGCAAAATAGGGAGATTGAGGCTATCATGGATTACCAGGCCAGGTGAAAACAAGGGCAAAAATCCACCGCTATGTTCCTCATCCATTAGAAGGGGCAATCACCGGAGAAGGCCACATGGAAACGATATGAAGACTTATGACAATTCAAAGATAAGATCCGAGAGTTTATGCAGTAGCATTGCGTCGCGGTCGTCGCAACATTAGGTGGGGGAGAGTGTGATGACCAGCCATGTCATCATGCCACATAGGTGTCATTTGGCATATATTAAAGCCATGTGGAAGCTTTCATAGGAGGAAGGCTAGCATTTGTGAGAAGATTCTAGAAAAATATGGGCATTTCCTTTGGAAGACCTTAGATCCCTATGGATTTGCTAAGAAAGTCCTTGGAATCTTCTAGGCTTGTAGAGAATTCTAGAGAAAGCCCTTATCCTGAAAATATTAAGGACTTGTGTAACAATTAATATTTACACACTAGCCCCTAGGAGACTAGTATATAAAGGGGGTCATTCATTTGTAATTCACCAAGAAAAGAATTCAAGTTCTCTCTAATACAAAGCTTCCTTTAACAATTCTCTTATGTTCTTTCTACCATTCTCTTAGCGATCTTGAGTGTAGTAAGGCTGACTTGGCATAGCAAGAACGTGAGCAAGTTGGCAAGATCGTGAGCGAGTTGTCAAGTGCCGCACGTGTACTTAGTTAACTACTAAGGACGTGACATTTGTCTCGCAAATGCGAGCTCGCAGATGTAGAAATTTAGTCCGTAGATGCAAAAATACTGGACAAAATACATAAAATCGGGTGTTAGCTATTTTTACTCATTTTTGAGTTTTGAGTTTCGGATTTGGGCGATTCCAAAGGGGTTTTTTCACGACTTCGACTTGGGTAAGTATTCTATATCCGAAAGTAATTATATTTCATAAATCCATGTTTATATTCATCGTTTATTTCGGATATAGATGGAAGAAATTGGATTTTTTTGTAAAATCTTCCAAAAATGTAAACATGAAGATTTGAAAGGCAATCCGATGTCGGAATTCGATAATTTTTATATAGTTGAATTCGTATCAGAACGAGTGTCCAGATTCCGTGATTTTTCATCGGGCTGCGAAAAGTTAGCCCTACATTGACTTTTGGTTGACTTTTCTAAAAATGACTTAAATTAAGTCTCTTTCGAATTATGAATAATTTCGAAAGCTCCAACTGAATTGTTGGCCAATAATTTGATAGGTTTGGAGACTAATTCGAAAGAAAAAGCTGCGGTCGAGTGATCACTTGAAATTGTGAAACGAGGTAAGTGTCGTGGTTAACCTTGACTTGAGGGAATAGAACCCTTGAATTATTTGTTACATGAATTTCATGTGTAACGACGTATAGGCGAGGTGACGAGTGCATATACATCGTCAAATTGATTGTTTGCATATTTATCTGAAAATCATAAATTATTTTAAATCATGAATTAATTATTATTTTAATTATTTCTCTTATATTCCTTGTCCAATATTATGTCTTGAATTCATGCTATAATTGCTACATGCTTATTTGACTTATGTGTCTTAATTTCTACTTGACATTTATCATATTAAATGTTAAGTTGCCTATTTTCTCCATGATTTCCTCAATTAATTGCTACTTGTCATTAGTTGTTTCCCTAAATAAATCATAATTATTGTATGCTTTGTTGCCTAATAATTTCTTATTAAATTTGATATTTATTGGAGTATTGTTTTTTATTTAAGAGTTATTAAATTATATTATTGGATCGGGTTGCACGCCGCAACAGATTTTATTTTAAGTTTATTTAGTTGGAGCGGGTTGCACGCCGCAACAGAATTTAATTGAAAGAGTATATTGTTGGATCAGGTTGCAAGTCACAACGGATTTTATTCTAAATTTATATTATTGGAGCGGGTTGCACGCCGCAACGAAAATTAATTGAAGGATTATATTGTGGGAACGGGTTGCACGCCGCAACGGAATGATAAAAGAAATGATTGACTATGACTGCTGAATTGACTTCAGTTATTGATATGATTTAATTGTCTTACCTCTATTCNGCTCGGCACTTACAGAGTACATGTGGTCGGTTGTACTCATACTACACTCTGCACTTCTTGTGCAAATTCCGGAGTTGGTCCCAACGGCGTACTGTAGATTTGCTTGGATTCAGCTATTAGATGAGACTTGAGGTATAGATGCATGACGTTCGCAGCTCTGAAGTCCCCTTCTACTTTATCTTAGATGTGTGCTTTCTTTCAGACAACTTTATTTTATTCAGACCCTTATTTGTATTATTCTAGAAGATCGTGCACTTGTGATTCCAGTTCTGGGATGATATTTAGACATCGTTATTATATTGGTTTGTTCATTTAAATTAAGATATTATTCCGGTTATTGGTTTGTTTACTATTTAATTAAGATGAATTGCTAAAAATGTTAAAATTATTCTAACGTTGGCTTGCCTAGCAAGTGAAATGTTAGGCGTCATCATGATCCCGAAGGTGAGAATTTCGAGTCATTACAGATCCAATTGAAGGAATTGATGAAAAATGAAAAAGAAATTAATGCCAGCGTATTTTGAATACATTTTGTCTTCTATTGAATCTCTTTGTTTATTCAACTTTGGAATTTAAATAATTTAACTCTTAACACTTTAGTAAAAGAGATTTCGTTCGATTTTCTACTTCCTTTCATCACCAGTGGTCTTTATGAAAATCATTTATATACCCTAAGATTGTGTCAATTGAAATATTTCACTCTATTTTTGAATTTTGTTTTATCACCAATGGTCTTTTTGAAAACAATTTATATACCTTAAGAATTGTATGTCAACTGGAGAATGATTTCACTTATATGATGAATTAGAAACAAAAAATATTTTTGGTTTATTGAAATTCTTAATGTTACCTTATACTAAATTCTAAATATTTAATCTAATTAGAGTTTTTCAATAAGTGTCTTTTTGTTTTTCAAATAGTTAAAAAATCGAATGGGTGGAACATATCCATTCAAGACATGTTCCAAACAATAAATAAAAAAAATAAATAAAAAAACTTTTGTAAATCTCAAAGAATTAACAATCATTAAATACCAAAAAATTTAAAATTCAAATAATTTCTTAGGAACCACAATAAGTTTTTAATCAAGAAACCACTTATATTTAGCTTAATTTATCATTATTTTAAAAAGTTAAATGATTTTCATAAATTATCTTATTGGAATCACTGATAATTTATGAGTTATAATTGGTTTTTTCTCAATATTCGAATAAATATAATAAATAATTCAAAATATTGAAAGCTATAGTGCTAATATAGAATAATATTATTAATGGAATATTCTGGTCTATTTTAATTATTGTAACATAAAATGAGTAATTTCATATACGAAAGCGTAAGACATTATTAAAAAGTGGATCGCCTCTGTTATTATCCAAGAACCCCATACTTTCTCGTTCTTTGATATTTTTAATTCTTTCCTTTATTTATTTCATTTATTATTTTTATATAATTTATGTATAACATTTATATAAGGTAAATTTTCAATTTTATTACCTATTTGATAATATAGTTTGAGTTTAAGTATTTGAAGACTTTTGCACATGTAAGGGTACTTTGTCGTTTGGAATCCACACCTCAAAAAAAATAAGTTACCAAAAATTTCACACGTTAGATTTTATGTTTTTCCTTATAATTCTATAGATTAAAATACTAATTGATTTCAAAATCCTAAATATTAGAACTTCCTACATTAATTCAAATAAGGAAACGATATTTCGCTAAGGGCTTTCGTGTTTTAATATAGTATAGATATAGATTTTTGTATTAACGTATAAAATAGAAAAGGCTTTGATTTTACTTAGAATTTT